ACAATAGATTTTCTCTTAATCTTTGATTGTGAAAGGCTCTCTGGGGGGAAAAAAAAAACCCAAACTGTAAGAAAGACTAATATGTATGACAATATGTTAACTATATGACAATTAAAACCTCCTGCTCTGGCAAGAAAACAGAAAAAATAAACCGGAAAGTTATTTACATATATATAACAAAGAGCAAATTTTCGTAAGGTAAAAGAGGATTTGAAAAATCAGTAAAAACTTTTTTTTAAACCTGACATACTGACATACTGAAAAAAGAAAAGTAGTATTTTAGCAGCAGAGACTGGGAAAAGGCACAATAACAAAATTTTAGGCATTCTCCAGATCTTTAAGAAAACTAAAAACCCACAAAAATCTCTCTTCATCACGTGCCTTCCTTGAGTTATGGTCCTATATCTCTCCTCCCTTTCACAGCAAGAAATTTGAGTAAGTTATCTCTTCTTGCAGTCCATCAGTTATTTCCTCTATCCTCACTTGGAACCGCTCTGATCACGCTCTTGCCAGGATCATTCACCCAGAATGTGTTATATGAAGCATCATTGCTAAATCCAGTGACCGATTCTGAGTCCCTATCTCACGTGACCTATCGATAACATTTGACACAACTAATTATTTTTTTCCTTCTGGAAACACTTTGTTCCCTTGGATTCCCAGACACCATGTTCTGCTTGTCATTCTACGGGGGGTTCTTCCTCATCTCCCTAAGGTACAAAATACTGGCAATACTCAGGGCACAAACTTTGGGGCTCATCTCCTATCTACACACACTTCTTAGATGATCTTATCCAGTCTTGAGACTTGAAATACCATTGATATGCCAATAATGCTAATGTTTAAATCTTCAACCTTGACCTTTCCCCTGGACTCCAGACCTATATATACAAATTTCTTGATATCTATTAGATTTTTGATACGCAAATCATAATTAACATGTCCAAAATTCTGCTCCAGGTCCTGCTCCAAAACTTGCTCCTCCATAGTTTTGCCCATATCAATAAATGATAACTTGGAGTCACTGTTGACCCTTCTTTCCCAGGATTAGAATGCTTAGTGAATTGTCAGCTTTACCTTTAAAATACATCTAGAATCTGACCACTTCTATTGCTACTGTTTTGAGCTAAACAACCATCTTCTCTTGACTGGGTAACTTCAATAGTCTTGGTATGTCAGAACTTGTCCCCACACCCCATCCATAAGACGTCCAAGTCGTTACAATGGCCTGAGTTCCCATTATCTTCTGCTCACATCTCACCTGTGATCAACCTCCTCCCCCATATTAGCTTCCTTCCCTTTCTTCCATGGGGCCTTTGCATCTGCTGTTTCCTCTGCCTGGAGTTCTTCCCTCAGATATGCACATGGCTTACTTTCCCTCCTGCTTTGAGTTTTTAATCCCTAAACATTTCCTGTAAAAAAAAATCATTTTCCTCAGCAGTTATCAGTTATTAACATCTAACTTTGTATGTTATCTTATTTATTCTCTTTCCACTAGACTGTTCCTTAAGAACATGATTTTTAAAAAAAAAAATTATCATCATAACCCAAGTTCCTGTATCCTTAAGAGGTTGGGGTGATACTGACAAGAGGCAAGCCATTTTACTTGTACAGATTTAATACTTGGAGACACTCTTCCAAGGATGGGTGAAAAGCAGGGCTAAAAATGTGAAGACAGTTGAGAGTCAGGATAGAAAATTGTTGGACTCCTGGATATCCTTTTTTTGTGTGTGTATTCAGGTTTTCTTTTCCTTTCTTCCTCCCAGGATTAATTTTCTTGAGGAATGGAGACTCTCATGCCCTCCCATCATTGCATTCTGTGTTTACCTCTATTGTTGCAGCATTATCCTGAAATCACCTTCCTAACTGTCCATCTATGCTGAAAAATCATAAACTCTTTGAATGTTGGGATCAAACTTTTCCAGTGACGCTGTGGCCTCAGCACCAAAATCTGTGTTTGGAATGATAATCATTCCTTGTTGATTGATTTGCTTTAATGAATACTCCAAGCAGGAAATGAAAAGAACCTGAGCAAGGTCACAATGAGGAGTTAATGACCACTTAGAAATGGAGTGAAGGGCACTGTCTAGAGTAACTCCCAGGGTTTTGATTGGCATGCAGGAGAGTCTGCAATGTTTCCCTTGTGATTAACTTGGAGGTGGGATAAAATCAATGAAGATTTGTTATCAGCCTGGGGCAAGCAGCTGGGGCGAGAGTTATTTTCCTATTCAGGATATTACTAATTGTCTCATGTAGAAATAGAAGCAAAGACAATAATTACCAGGTTTCAAATGGTGTGTTGGACTGACCAACAGTATTCATTTAAAGCATGTTTTCATTCATTAAGCTCCCCAAACAAGGTCAAGTGGTTGAAACAGGGATTGTTGGATCCAGGTTCCTTGCAGCAGATAATATTATGTAAGCTTGTTGGGTGCCAATTATTCCCAGAGCTTATAACACAGGAAATATATGACTGTCTATCCTTACATACTGTTTAGGTTTTCTAATTACAATGCAAGTAGCACATGTGTTTCTTAATCCTTATAAAACCTGTTAATATTATGACAAGATGGTATTGGAAGCTGGAAAGGAAATTTTACAGGGAACCAGATAACAGACTACTCGATTTCACCTGCTAAGGCAGTTTCTGCAGGCACCTGAAGTAATTTTTGCAGGTTGGGCATGACTGGTAATAGACTTAGTCCACAGTTGCGGTATCATGTGACCCCGTAGGACGCATTCTGATCAAATAACATCATCACTAATGCAAACTGGAGTTGTGCTCACTGAACTTCCTCAGGCTTGAGGCATAGAAGCAGACATCATCCTTTGTTAAAAAGATGTCCTTTGAATTTTCTGCATTAAAATATAATTTCTGTAGAGATTTATATATTAGTCCTCATTTTACCCAAAATCAAACCCAGACTATTAATTCACATTTCTTAATGGGAAATAAATTAATGAGAGGCTCTTAATTCTGATGTAACTAGCTTTACTAGGATGTATAGAAATGGAAAATAGAGGTACAATATGGACACTTTAAACTGAGCTTTGACTACAGACCTGAGTAGTTCAGTTGATGTTCCATCAGTTCTTTGGGATGGTATTCTAAAAGCCAACCCCTCCAGCCTTTCTTCCTAGGGACAAGAAAGATGGGGGAACCAAACAGCCACACCATCACCTAGGGGAAGCTATGTAAGCCACATGTGTCATGAGGCACATCCGCCCTGAGGAGAATATGCCCAGTCCCCAAGCATATTTAAATGGAGATGGGGCTGAATAACTGGTATCCCCTTTATCTTTGCATTCTGCTCTCAGTCCCAATAAATGCGCTTATTTTCATTTCCTTAATTGCCTAACATCTGAGAGTGCTTCAGTATCTTGAAGTAGGCGCCTGGGCTAAGACAGCCTGAAACTGAAGTGAGGTCAACAATTGTTCCAACACTCCAGCACCCAGTCCATAGTGAAATATTGGCCCCCACTGATCACAGAAGGAAATATTGGGGAAGGAAAAAATTGAAATTCTTACTGAAATTTTGCATCCTGAGCTATGGTTTCAAATAGCTATGTGTAGCTCTTAAGACGGTTGTCACCTTTGAAATCTTAGCATTAAATGCAATTATTAGATTAGCAACAAATTTATTATAATGACAAAGTTCTGATGTAATAATGTTACCTGTTTAGAGTGTAATGAAAGAAGAAGTTAAGAATCGTTATACTTTCTTTAGCACTGTCCACGTGCAGGAACACTACACTGAGTAGTCAACCTCTTCCTTTGTGTGGCTAAGTACTAATAAATTGTTGGGCAATTAGAAAGTTGACCTTTCTGACCAACTTTAATTCTAAGTAATTTTTCTCAATGGTTTTGCCACTGCCTGAGGCATTATAAAAATTCATTAAAAAATTAGTGAATATGAGAATAAAAAGATAACTTATTTGGTTCTCAAATTCCAGGCTTCTCCTAGCATTTGCAACAGAATGTGCACATACATAAAACAGATTTTGAGAATGGAGAATTAAAATTAAAAAAAATAAAACCCTCTAAGGCAAATAATTTATATAATTTTTAACTCAAAGACACAGCACTGGGAAAACTGATAATTTAAAATTATATAGAACTGTAGATTATAGTAACATTTTAAGGAAAGTTTCCTATTTCTTTTAACAATGAAAGACGGCAAGGGCAAATAGGTGTATTTGCTTTCTGGTTGGCTCAAATTGGCTGACTGTCTAACGTTGGTATCGGGGTAATTCCTGCCTGTGATGGAAGAATTTGCAAGAACTCCTCGCAGTTCTAAGATTTCAGTTCATGTAGCAGTATTTCAAGGTAATTCTGTTACAAATATGCACTCTTACTTGCTAAGAGACATTTCTTATGTACATATTTTTGATAATGCCAATCACTATGAAATAATGTAGGGCTAAGGTGAACTATAGGTATAAGAGTTGAAAAAAAGGCTGAGGTGAAGTTAATGTTTTTAAATTGCAAAAATGTGAAGGTAAAAAGAAAAAAAAGATCATCTCTTTTAGTCTGATTATTCAGGTACATACAGTATATACAGATCAAGCTATATCAAGCACTATTTAATTTTTCATATTCATCGGATGGAAATGGATTAATATTTATATTTAAAACTCTACTGCATTGTATATTTATAATCAAAAGTTAAATTCAGTTACTCATTTCGCTAAAAAAATCTTTGTTATTTTAAATAAAGATCTATAAAGTGCTATGCAACCTGCAAAAGAAATATCTAAGCAAGGCTTTTGCAGGATTCTTTTAATTAGCCTTAGTAAATAAATACTTTCACCATTATGTACTTGTAGTTCATATGTAGCATCATATGTAGCTTATGATGAGCTACAAAGTTAACAAAGTATCCAAATAAACCATTAATTTTACATGTATTCTATTTGTCTTCTAAAAATAAATGTACCAGAAATAGGAAACCTGATATAATAAATATTAAATATCATATATTAATGAAATATCACTCTATTTATTGTTCATTATCAAGATTTAAGTGTGTCAAATATACTATCTCAAACCCAGCTGGCAAAAGAGGTGGATAATACATACTATCCTAGCCAACTAATTTTCATGAAATACAATTAAGTGAGAAGTAAAGAGGCAGGGATTCCTATTTATATACACTTGTATAAAAAAGGAAGGATCTAAAAACTAGTCCCATGATAATCATCTTTCCTTTGGTATCACTGTCAGATATCCTCATTTTATGAAATAAACCTGTAGGAAAGTAAGGCTCAGAATGAATATATTTAGACATAAAAAAATAAAATGTTATTCACAAAGGAAACTAAAGCCTACTTTTCCGTCTTTGTTAGGAACAACATGAAACCCCTAAATAGTTGCACTAGTTCCATTCAGAAAATCCCCCACTCCATTCAGGCAACAGACTAGGAGAGCAAGGGTGCCTTATCCACAAGGGCTCAGTGAGTGACTTCTGACTGATAATTTCATGCAATTTCATCATCAGTACCAAAATATAACAACTCAAAGTATATTTCTTGTTGACAATGTGTCAAAAATGCCATTACAAAAAGTACTACGTTATATTATTTATAAGTTTTTGTCATTCAAGACAAAAATGAAATAGCAAATCAGATGTGATATTATATATTTCAAAAAACACCAGAAAGCCACGAGATTGGTCATTGAGAAGAATACAGGTGTTTGTTTTTTTCTTTTAAGAAAATGAAGACAGGGTAGGCAAATTTCATGTGAACATAATGCTAATATCTTTTCTTTTTCTTACACTTTTGGAACTTTTGGCTATATTCATTTCCCCTCTTGTTTTCTGTGCTACTATCGCTGTCACTGGTTTGTTTTTGCCTCTTTCGTTTATTCGTCTGATAAAGGTCAGGGTCACTGGGCTGTTGGTGAGTCCATTCGTAAGAGCTGGGTCCAGCCTCCAGATCTGGAGCACAATTTAGTGAAGACGTTGCAGACGTGCTATTAGGAAGCGGTGCTGCCATCTCATAGTAAGGCAGCTGCAGGGCTGGATTATAGGCATGCCACTGCTGGGGAAAAAAGACAATCATCTAGCAAAACAAGCCTGAAGCGTTAAAAGAAAAAGTTAACAGTTTACATGCATTATACAGCTAACTATGGGCAAACTAAACCACGTGTTAGGACAGTGACTTTCCAAAACAGGAATGTGGTAGTTCCTTTAAATGGTTAATGGAAAGATTCAAGGTAGTGTACAGCTTCCTACAATACAGATTCTGCCTTACAGAAATAGAACACAAGCCAGTTTTACATCTAGTAGCCGCAATATAGAAAAACAGGTACCACTAATGATGTGTTTTATTTATCCCAAATCCCAAATATTGTCATTTCAACATGTAAACAACATAAAAATTATTAATGAGTTATTTTACTTTCCTTTCTCCATACTAAGTCTTTGAAATTTGGTGTGCATTTTATACTTACAGCACATCTCAATTTGGATGCAACATTTTCACTGAAAATACTTGATCTGAATTTAGATTACCTAGAATTTAACATCTGAAAAAGTAGATCCACATACCCAAGTTCCTGCAAATATTCTTAAAAATATTCTATTAACTGAACCAAGTATCTGCTGTAAAATTTTAATAAAATTTAAAATTAAATAAAACTAAAAACTCCGCTCCTTAGTCTCACATGTGGCTAACTGCCACACTATGGTACAGCATGTTTGTCAACTATTAAGATAGAGAGACCCTTTCTTGTTTTTAACTCAAATTTCTAACTATTCAAAGTAGATTAAAGATTAATAGAGACAACACAAACCTGCATGTGTCTGTGTGTTTCTCATCTCTACCAAGGATAAAAAATGCTGGGAAGAAATATTGACAGTTTTGGATGAGAACTGGTTGTTTCTTAATATCTCACTGTAACTAAGAAAAATTTTTTTCCCAAAAGTTAAATTCTCCATTTTCTTTATGTTTACAAAATGAAAATGGCTGTTTGAAAAATCTGAAGCTCACATATATGTTGGATGTTCACAACAATCACACCCTGTTAATCACAATACCTGTGTTATAGTCCCACGTCTGTCACTAACAAGCTGTACTCTCTTGGGCCTACCGGTTACTACCCCTAGACCTCAATTTTATTATGTACAGAATGAGGAGTTGGAAGAAAAAACATTTCCTAAGTTCCCCTTTAACTTATTGTGACCATAATTATGATTTCTAGGCCAGAACCATATTATCGAGAGTCTCTAGAAATAATGTAGTTTAACACTGAGAATCTAATTTAAATTAAAGTTTAAATGAGAACTCTCTACTCAAATTGTACTTGGACCACAATACAGCGTCACTACTATCTACCCCTCTTGTGTTGACACACTCGCTGAAGTTCTAGGTGTGAGGCTAAAGATGACTTGGTTGTTGGAGCAGACTACCATTGGGGAGACAGTGCTCAGGGCAGCTTCTGCCTTCACCCCAGGTTTAGATTTGAGAAACAGAAGTTCCATCACAGTCTGTATTATATTACATATTGAACCAAAGGCATATCAAACTTACCATCTTCTGAAGGAAAAAATATTCTTGAGGTAAAGCTGCACTGTTAATTGGAAAGAATTGCATGGGAAAGGAAGATCTGGCCACAACTTCTTCATTTCTTTGGGGAGGTAAAAGAAAAATTAATAAAAAGTTAAAATCCCTACACACAAATGTCCTTTTTTTTAAAAAAAAAAGAAGAAAAAGGCTCCTTGTTATTAAAAAATAAAGCTTCTCTAAGACAGCTCAGTTAAGATTAACTTTAAACATATACACACAAGTAATCAGATATTATACTGATAATATAGTGACATAGTAGTACCTTAAGTCTTACTAATTGCTACATATCGAAATCTCAACATTTAGAGTCACATCTGGCCTTCTGACAGGAAAATGTTAAACAGCCTTGTATGTGTATAAAGAAACAGACACTTAGGTATGAAGAGAGCAAAGCAAGTCGTTGGTAATCACCAAGGGTACATTCAATCTTCTACAGATATAAAAAGTGAAAGAAATATAGAAATTTTCCTCAATTTACTGTTGAAGATATCTTTACTGTTTAACTATAAAAATTATGCTCTTTCCTAAGTGGACTGCTCATGTTTATCCACGTTTGTGGATTTCTTGCACACATGAATTAAGATAATAAAAACTCCTCATTTAAAAACTGTCGTGAGCTAAAGTTTCCTTTATAAGTGTTGTCATATTTGCTTCTACGAAGCTATTTCATAAAGTCCAGTTACAACTACTAGTCAGATTCTCCAGCTAGCCCTCACGCGCCACAGCACTGCACAGTTTTAATGCCGGTACTACTAACCCTTAGGAAAGGAGGTGTGCTGTGGCAAAGGCGGGGCAAAGATGAGGGCAGGGGAGGGACAGATGAGTGGGATGGGCATGCGGACACCCCACCGCTAAGTGGTGAGACTACTGCAAAAACCAGTGGAAGAGTAAAACTCTCTAAGGGAGGATTCGGTGTCAGTTGTTACGAAAAAGGAAACTGAATTAGCATTGAAGCTATTGTTCGGAAGTTCCTGATAACCTCTGGACGAGCACCTTCCATCTAACAATGGGCTTAAGAAGCGTGTAGGAAGGAAGGGTGTGAAGGATGAAAGATTTTTCAGGGAGAAGAAGGGGCAAAAGGTAACAGCCTGATTTGGGGACAAGGTTGGAGGAGACCAGAACATGTGTACAGATAGTAAAGAAAAAAACAAAAAGCGCAATGAAATTACAGAGTGGGGAAGATACAACCTCAGGAGCAGAAGTGCCGGGACTAGCACCATCACGAACACAGAGGCAGATTCTCTAAAACCACCGTCCTTCCTAGGCGAATCTCAAGGCATGCATCGTTGTCTACAGAGATGAATCACATGTAAATTGGGAAGAGTTGGGGGCTAAACTGTATCACCCCAAAATTCCCATGTTGAAGTCCGAACCCCCAGTACCTCAGAATGTGATCTCATTTGGAACCAGGGTTGTTGCAGATGTAACTGGCTAAGACGAAGTCTTACTGGAGTAGGATGAGCCACTAATCCAATAGGACTGTTTTCTTTATAAAAAGGGGAAATCTAAAGACAGGCATACACAGGAGAACATCATATGAAGAACCGGGTGATGTACCTACAAGCCAAAGAATATCAAGGACTGCCAAATAACCAGAAGACACCATGAGACAGACACAGAACATTCTCTCTCATAGCCCTCAGAAGGAACTAATTCTGTGGACACCTTGACCTTGGACTTCTAGCCTCCAGAACTATGAGACAACACATTTCTGTTGTTTAAGTACCTCTTTGTGGTTATTTGTTATGGCAGCCCCAGCAAACTAATATAGGAACTATTTATTGAAAACAGAAGGCATAAGAGGCAACAGAAGCATAAAAAATCCTTTTCAAAGAAAGACCCATGAAAGACTAAGGATACAACATGTACACCATTTTTCTCTGCACATTACTTCTAGGACACTATATCCTCTTTTCATTCTTCCTTTATAATGTAACAAATACTAGAAAATAAGGTACTACCAATGAAGTATACTGTTGTGGAATATACATATAATTCTGATTTTCTACTCTAGAATTTGTGATGATTGAGTCTGTCAAACATAAACATAGAATACAAGAGTTCTGACATCTTATACTGCTTGTCTTTCTACCTCTGCCCAAACAGCAACAGCTTGTTTCTTCCTAATTCCTGAGAAATATGAGGTATGTTTTCCCACTAGTAGAAGAGAAGAAGCTCTCCTATTATACAAATGGCTCAATTCATGAGTCTATAGTACATCCCCTACCAACATAGTAAATCACTCCCCCCTTTCTGGTAACACTAGCTGAAAAGTATTTACTGAATACCTGCTATGTGTCCAGTATTTTAAATACATGGAATGTATTACAAAATTTGATTCTCACAACAATCTTCGAGGTATGATCCTTGTTTTAGAACAGGTTACAGTGTGGTGAAATAACCTGTCCAAGGTCATACCATTAATGAAGTGGCAGAAGCAAGATTTAAGTTCATATAATTTGAAGTCAGCACCTACTCTGGTTTTTTTTTATGATTTTCTTTCTTTCTTTTTTATTTGAGAAAGAGCGAGAGAGAGCATGAGCAGGGGAGAGGCAGAGGCAGACTCCCCGTGGAGCAGGGAACCCGATGCAGGACTCGATCTCAGGACTCTGGGATCATGACCTGAGCTGAAGGCAGATCTTAACTGACTGAGCCCCCCAGGTGCCCCTCAGCACCTACTTTTTCACTTCTCCTGATTTCCCTGATACAGAAATACTGGGAAGAATGACGATGTGGAACACACTGTGTTTTATTTGGGAGGTAGTACTTCTCCTATAGATAAGCCTGTGTGATTGCCAGTCCTCGGAGGCACTCGCTCATGCCTCAGAAAGATAGGACTTTCAGCTACTGTTAGTTTACATGAGAATATTCAGTTCTGCTGCAGAAGACAAAAACAAACAGGATGGATGAAATGCTTGTAACAGACTCTAAGTAAGCTAGTAGTTTATGGGACGGTGATGAAACCATGTTAGGGACAGAATAAGCAACTCACTTGGGAGATACCGGCAGAAGTTATATGTTCAATTCAGATAGTAAATAAGTTTGTAACCTGTCAGACGTGCTACAGATAGACTCAGTCGATAATATGTGGAGTAAGTAAGAGTGTCACTTGTACCCGATGATACGTGTGCCAAACTATCCAGGATCTTTCCTGTTGCTTTTCACTGTGTCTTCTAAATTGGTTTATCACACCATTTATTAATGGTGTGATTTGAACATCTTAATTCAGTTTCAGAGCCTTTCTGTTCCATGACCTCTAGGATAGATGCCTGACAGTGTCCTTAGGGGCTACCATTGCATCAGGAAATCAGCCAATACAAAATTTTAGAATATTTGGAAAATTATCATAAAGAAGTTCGAAAAAGTAGTACAATAAATGACAGAATGGCTTAATGTCAGAAGGCTTAATTTCAAGCCTAGCAACTATCACTTTTTCATCTTTATGACCCTGAAAATTAGTTAACTTTTACATCTCTGTTTATTCAAGTACAAGATATGGATAATAGCATCTCTATGATCCATCACAATGACACCTTGGAAGCTTAAGTGATTTAACATCTACAAAAAGCATAAGGTAAACTATAAAGAACACTAGAAATATGAATCTTTCTCACCTGCTACTGAAAATATTAAAACTGAACTTTAAATCAAAATATTTTGCCACTGTTCATCATTTCAGAAAAAAAGTGAATTGCTTAAATTTTATCCCATGTCTAAACAGTAAGGTTTTACAATAGTTCAGAATATATAAAAACTATTTCTCGCACAAGAACATATTTGTTTTTTGAAAAAATATTTTTAATTACCTGTAGCTGTGTGAATTTATCTTAACACAGCTCTCAAAACTTTGGTTAGCTGGTTCAGAAGAGCGAGAGCTCCCTACAGAAGAAAAAGAATCAATAGATTACTTAATGGTACAATTTTTTGGAGTTCTATTGTTAAGCCAAAGAAAAACTCCAAACCTAAAAGGATGCAGCATTGGTCAAAATTCCTTAATCATATAAGGTACATGAATATATCTTTGATCTCCCAAGTGGTATTTACAGATTGTTTACATTACAACAAATGACTGAATTATAACCAAGCTTTGTCCAAAGCCATGGCTGCACAGAAGAATGATATTGACATGGGACCATAAGATAGATGATGTTGTGTTGTTCCACACGCTTGCAGACTAATAATGGCAAAAATTAGTGTGATCTGCCTCTTGTGGAGAATGCAGGAGTTCTCTAAACTGCATTGGCAAAAGTGGATGAAACATTACAGAGGATGCTAAGCAGCTGGCTGGGATGTGTCAGAACATAGTGCATCCCGGCCCATTTTACCAGTCTGTGTGAGTTAACCAAACAGTACTTGAAAGCAATGATACAGCCAATTACCTTTGCAAAATCATTAAAAATATAAATAAAAGAAAGAAACACAAGGAGAGAAACCTTTTTCCTTTGCAATGAGGTACTGTTTTCTTACTGTTTTTAGTATAATAAGAGGAAAAAAATAAACAAAGGATACATCAATAGACTTGCATCACTGAGGGGAGGGAGGCAACATACGCATTGCAAGCACTGCACCATAAGCATCACCTCTATCAGTCCCTCAAAACGTGAAAGAGGTAGTCTACTAGTTCAGTGTTCTCCAGTATTTAATCCGTTTTTGACAGGTGTGTAGAAGACATTTGAGGTCATTGGTGTCCGGAAACTCTCCTCCACAGTGACTGAGGGTCACTCTGCAGCCGCTTTTGGCCAGCTACTTTTGCAGGGGCTTAGATCCAAGGCACTAATGCAGAGTATGGTGTTCGCAAGAGAACGACTAAGGCACCCACTCTACCTCCCAAACAGTAGGTATTTGATACCACACACTAGCACTGACAAGATCGGCAAATGACCTTGATGTATTCAAGGCTAGAGCTGTGTGTCCCAATTCATTTAGATTTGCTTAATTTACAACAGCCAATAGCAACTATCATAGTTACTTGCTGGCTGGTACTAAGATAGAACATTTTAAACTTTAATATAGAAAAGATGCCATAGGATTGGCAATACTAGTTAATCATATAACACTATGAATGTCTACATGTATTCTGAGAAAATTTAACAGAGACAAAAGGAACACTTTTTTGGTCTTACGTTATATAGAAAACACAATGTTCACACCTCTGAGAACAACACCATCAACAAAACACACTTGGAAGATTCTTCAGTGGCAAGACCTACCAAATCGATACTGTACATTAATTGGTCTTCCATATAAACGTATTCCATTCAGCAAAGCTATGGCATAAGACACCGATTCAGGGTGCTTAAAGCAGACAAATCCAAAAGTCTTCGGCTTTCCTTCTCTGTCTTTGCATATAGTCACTTTGGTTAATGGCCCAGCCTATAAAAAACTTAAAAATTATTTTCTCATAAATCTAAAGATTTTTTTTTACATTCAGATAAATCAAGTATATTCAACTTCAGACTTCAAAATAAATCTGTTAGCAGTAATTGCTTTATGTAGCTCTGCGAATGATGCATTTTCCTAACAGTAAATATCATATTTCATCACACTTTCTAGTATTTTTTGCTCATCAAGAAAACATTCATGGTGTTAAGAACAGAAAATTTTAGGTAACAGTTCCAAATCTTAAAAGAAATGTTACCCTCTGCTAGGTTTAACAAAACAATTTAGAGAGCATTTAAATCTAAGAGTAAAATACTATTTTATCTCCGTATGTATTAACTGTGTATAACTCAAAAACAAATTGAAATGACAAACCTAATGTTGGTTTGAGTGAGCCTAAAAAACTGTTGTATTGTAGCACGGCCTCATTTTTTTTGTCAGAGTTAAACATTTTGACAAGAGAAACTAATTTATCATGTATTTTGATCTAATAATCCCATTTGGTAAATATTCCCAAAGGAAAAAATGTTTTAGTATGTTTACGACTTTTAAGTAGGTGCACTGTTTATATGAGTGAAAAATTGGAAAGGTTCTAATTCCCACAATGGGAGAATATTATTCCATCATGTATTTAAAAAATGGAATAAAACAAAATAAATTGAAAATATTCAGACTGTATTGGTAGTAAAACCTATAATTAGCAAGAGAGTAAAAAAGCAGAGTGAAATATTGTAAAAAGGTATTAATTACAACTAAAAAAATTACATGTCCCCCATGATAATGATTACAGGAGGCACCCACAAAGACTTATAAACAACTAAGATTTAATGGCAAATGGCTCATGCTTTTTACTTTTATTTATTTTTTTAGATTTTATTTATTTTTGAGAGACAAAGAAAGAGCATGAGCGGGGTGAGGGGCAGAGGGAGAAGCAGACTCCCTGCTGAGCAGGGACCCTGATGTGGGTCTCCGTCCCAGGACGCTGGGACCATGACCTGAGCCAAAGGCAGATGCTTAACCGACTGAGCCACCCAGGCACCCCTGGCTCATACTTTTTAATTGTACTTTAATGACTGATTACTTTTCTCTGTCGAGTTGGATAAAGAAATCGCTTTTATTCTAAAGAAAAATGTTAACTATCATCTTTAAAATGATACTACATTTTAAGATTCCGTCTTTTTTTTTTTTATTCCTTTTCTGCTTTCTCAGGGACTAGCTCATCCTCCCTTCTGGATCCAAGGACCACTTCGTCAACAAATCTATTTTTTACACTCATGCTGCCTGGAGACCTGTGTGTGACTGTTCTTCAACATAATTGAAACTGAATTCATTATCTTTCTCCTCCAAATCTCTACTTCAGTATTTCTTAGTCAAAAGTACAAAAACTTTAAACCTGATTTTTTCACTTCAAAGGATAATCAGAAATTTGAAAGAAACTAGTAAAAGGATAAATATACAGTAATAAAAAAACCCAATTTTAATCAGTACTGTTCTACTACAGATATTAAATATATGAAATCACAAATGAAAAGAGTATGCTTAAATGCTTTGAATTTTACAAATTCGAAGGTATACCAAAGCATTTCTAAAGATAAATTTCAACAAAACTTGCTTGTAGTAACAATCCCATCATCTTTTAGTCTTTTTGAAGACTAAGTTCATGTGTTTTTAAAAGCCTTTCTAAAAGACACCTCATTTTAGCAAATTCTTACAGAATACAGAAGGACCTAGGCAAAAATAAAAACATATGCTTGGTTGCCTGATCTGTTAAAAGACATGAACATTTTGTTTAGGTAGAAATTATTTAAAAAATGAGAAGATTTTATATTTACAATATCTATCTATCTATCTACCTACCTACCTACCTTGTAGATCCATACAACTCATAGTGATCCAGTTCCTACTGACTAGAAATAATGTAAGTGCGTGCTGGGGGCCTTTATGCCTATTCCCAACTCCCCTCCTCCTTTTTGCAGGCTCAACATAAGAGAAACCTTCAGGAAAAAAGAACTATAAGGTCTTTTCTTTTTTCTGTTTTCTTTTTCTTTAAATTTTTTTTGTTGTTAGAGTGGAAAGTTTCAAATGATATTGGGGAAAATAACTATAGGAAAAGAAAACTATCAGAGCAGATTAAAAAGGGCAAATTTTAAAAGATGGCAACTTAGAAAAGTAAGCATAAAAGCCTTAAACATATTTTTCAAATAATAAAGTTTTATGTCCAGGAAAGGAAACTGTGTTCCTTGGAGGGGGAATTCTCTTGATCAAACTGTGTGTATCTGAAATTAACAGAAGACAGAAACAAAGTTAGGGCCTTTCAAAAACCATGTAGAGAACCTTTTTCACTGCTAGTAGTACTTACCTAGTCCCAGAAATTTAGCTTTGCTATTGTCTGCCTTGGAACTTGCCCTTATTCTGATAGGGGAAAGTCTTTCTTTCTTGATTTCTCATTTATTAGTATTAGTAGTATTAGTAATTGTACCACTATTAGTGGTAGCAGTAGCAGCAGCAGCAAACACTCAGAAATGCCAAGCTCAATTCTGTTTTACCTGCATTAAGTTATTTAATCTTCCCACATCACTTTGTAGATGCTATTACTACCATTTAACATTTAAAGAAACTGCAGTACTGAGATAGTCATTTACTTGCCCAAAGTCACATCGACATTAGACATTATGACATTAGAGTTCATATTCCAAACAACTTCACTATATTACATATCCTTCTCTTTTTAGATTATCCTAAATCATGGTAATTAATTTTTAAATTTCCCCTTTTAGAAAGACCAAGGGCGGGGCTCCTGAGTGGCTCAGTCGTTAAGCGACTGCCTTCGGCTCAGGTCATGGTCCCAGGGTCCTGGGATCGAGCCCCACATCCGGCTCCCTGCTCAGTGGGAAGCCTGCTTCTCCCTCTCCCACTCCCCCTGCTTGTGTTCCCTCTCTCGCTGTGTCTCTCTCTGTCGAATAAATAAATAAAATCTTAAAAAAAAAAAAAGAAAGACCAAGGGTTATCTCTTAAATTTGTATGTTCAGCATCTTCGTGTTTGTCATGTAATGGCTAGATGAATGGCTGGAAGAGTAGATTTCTTTAGAAGTGACATCTACATGTATACAATAGGTGAGTGTTTACTGGGGACAGAAGGCTTACTCGTGGAGGCCCTAAATCTCGAAAAGTTTCCAAAAGGCCCTCTTGGTATGAAATACAGGGAACTGCCCAGGGAATCAATTGCTCATAGTCATGATTTGACTGTACGAATCATTAAATCTTACTTACCATACTGGAGTAAAAACACTCTCCGTATCAAAGGGTTTGGAGGAATAAGTAATGTATAGGGTAACATTTTTAAAATCTATACCAATGCTGGATGTAAGGCGTAAGGGCGCTTATTACCTGAAGGAAGGTAGTGACAGGGCTGTTTTCTGTTTTGCCCTAGACACCCAAGGCCCAGGCAGTCTCCGCAAAGCCCCTCCTCAGGGCCGGGGGCTGGGGGGAGCTAAGTCACTTCCCACTCCTAGGGCTCTATAGTGGGGATGGGCATGGGACGCATATTATATATCACTTCACTACTAGCTGCTCACCTAGAGGCAGGTGTGCCAAAACGGAACTAAATTATAAACCTAGGTACAAGATGCGGCGGGAAGGGGGCCGGGCTCCGGGTGGTCCGGGTGCGCCCCGCCCCTCGGGCTGCGCTTCCGGCTCGACGGTCCCCGCCCGTCCGCCGCCCCCCGCCGACGATACCTGAAGGAACAGCTCGTAAAGAATCTCTTCCCGTACTCGGGCCTCTAAATTCCCCACAAACACCGTTCTGTCGGCCTCCTCCTGAGCAGGGAACATCCCTCCGGTCTCGGCCCGAGGCTGGAGGAGGTCTCCAAGCCCCGCCCCCTCTCGTCGCTTTTCTGCGCCGCTCGGACTACGGGATCGGGGCCGGCGACGGGAGCGCGCGCGCCAGGGGCGGGGCGGGGCTGCGGGGCCACGCCCCACAGAGGCTGGCGGGGACCGCCCGCCGCGCCGCCACGCTGCTCCGGATCCCGCCGGAACCCTAGGAGAGTGAGTGAGAATTAAAAAGATTACGGCGCTCGGGGCTTTTCCCTCTCGCTGGTGGAGTGCCTTCCATTTTTCTAGGTACACCATTGTTAATTGACTTTGGATTTATTCAATCAACATTTTCAATAAAAGAGATATTTTAAGACATACTACCTGCAGTACTGGAGCTGCCCGGTTAATGGGGGAAGATTTGTTTCCAAAGAGTGAATGAATAAATCATTAGGAGTTTGAATTTATATTCTGTATAAACTAGTATTTTGAAAGAATAAGTCCGTGCATGCGTGGATGTGAAATACAATAGAATCCTAGAACTAAAGTTTATTTACCTAGCAAGCGCGCCCTAGAGAAGTCTTTGAAAATGGGTACAAAGGTTTTAGATGGACTCCAGAAGGCATTTGAAAACTTGAGAAAACGGCTTCTACCGAAGAACACTACAAAAAAGATAGCAAGTTTTGTGACTGAAGCCAGAATTTTTGAGGATGGCTGCAGGGCGCTTGTAGCGGGATCCAATGTTTGTACTTTGTATCAGGACTGTACTTTGTATACAGTGACCAGGGTGAATAATTAATTTTTACTTGAGGAGGGTTAGGGGAAAAATATCCTACAAAAAATAAAGGTAAGTAAAAGAAAGGGAGAAGAAAACCCACTCAGAATCTCAGTGGATGGATAAATCAACTGTCAACTATTGGCTTCCTTTTTGAAAAATCCATATGTCTATGAAAGACACTGAAATTATCCCCTAAATATACAAGTAATCAGGACATCATTTGGCTATTGGTTAGGAGTGGTGATAATTCAGGTTCTATTTCTTAAGGAATGGATTGGGCTAATGTAAATTACAGTACTTCATTTAGGTATTTTTTGAATGCTTGCTATGTACCAAGCGCTGTCTTTAATCCCTGGGAAACAAAGGTTAAGTATAAAGATCTGTCCTAAAGCTTTCAGCGTAATGAGAGAGACAGATTTCCTCGTACAAAATCATGTGTCAGTAACCTCAGTAGTCACCTTCTGTTGATATCATAAGTGTATAAGTCCTGTCTCCATTTTTCCTTTCTTTCCTCTGTCATCAACATTGTGGTAGGGTAAGAGGGGATTAAGGAAACTAACACATTGTAGTTTATAACAAATATATGTTGATCAAATGAATGGATATCTGAAGGTCTCAATTATGTGTCATACTATTGATTTTTTAAATTCATTTATCTCATAAATCTTATCCAATGAACATATTTCCTCGTTAACTTCCCCTCAGTCACAGCTAATCTGGGAGTTGGATCTTCAGGTTTCACTGTAAAATTTGCCGTGCACATATCTGGTTGTGAATCAGATAAACCTTTAGCTGTATTTATAAATAATTAACAATCATGTCTTGCTATATTGAAGCTTGCATCATACCTTTTTTTTTTTTTACAAATGTGTATGATTTTGGTGTTCTTATCACATCCTCTTTTTTTAGTTTTTTTTTTAAGATTTTATTTATTTATTTGACAGAGAGAGAGAGACAGCAGGAGAGAGAACACAAGCAGGGGGAGTAGGAGAGGGAGAAGCAGGCTTCCCGCGGAGCAGGGAGCCCGATGTGGGGCTTGATTCCAGGACCCTGGGATCATGACCTGAGCCCAAGGCAGACACCCAATGACTTAGCCACCCAGGCGCCCCTTCACATCCTCTTTTCTTTTGGCAGGACCTGAATTTATGGTGCTTATACTTATATAGTACTTTTTTAATGTTATAAGCTCTGAAAGTCAGCTCATGCAGTTAGCTGTTTATTCAGAATTTGACCTACATATATATCATTTTTCTAATTTAAGCTTGCTGTATTTCCTAACTTATATTGAATGAACACATTGTAATAAAACTAGCAGTAGTTAAAAAATAATTTATTCTCGGGGCGCCTGGGTGGCTCAGATGGTTAAGCGTCTGCCTTCGGCTCAGGTCATGATCCCAGGGGCCTGGGATTGAGTCCCAGCATCGGGCTCCCTGCTCAGAGGGGATCCTGTTTCCCCCTCTGCCTGAGACTCTCCCTGCTTGTGCTCTCTCTCTAATAAATAAATAAAATCTTAAAAAAAAATAATTTATTCTCAGCATTTCCTGGACCATTACTCAAATATAAGATTTAATGGGTTAAATGTATGGAACACTATAAAGAATTAGCCTTTCTTGACTCAGGACGTTTTACACCCCTAACCTTATGTATTCAAAAATGAAAATGTTTATATATATATATATATATATATATATGTAAAACTATAAACGATGTATATAAATCTGTCATCTATCTGTCATCTAAAACTAGAGCTTCTTTCTCCCTTTCTTTGCCCAGTTGACTCTTACTCTCTTTTGTAGTTCAGCCTACGCAGCATCTCCTACAAGGTTTCCCTGAACTCTGCACTCTAGATTAGCTGGCTGCCCTGCTATGTGGTTCCATGGTTCCATAGATATACCTTTTTCAAGCCCTCCTCACTGTGAATTGCAATAGGGTAAATATATTTCAGTACCTAGGACAAACCTCGACATATCTGTGGATATATCATAAATAGTTGTTGACATAATACAGTTTGAATGAATGAATGTCTCTACTTTGTATGTCCAACTACATTATGCCTGGAAATCAGTACATGCTTAATAAAAGTTGCATGAATGGATGAGTGAATGGAGAAACTTGATAGATTAGTGTAAAGGGACTCTAGTGGATTCTAAAATTGACCTCACCAAAAAAAAAAAAAAAAAAAATTGACCTCACTTTTGTCTTCACTTTTTTCCTACCCTCATTTTTTTCTCTATTCTGATTTTCTTAACCATATTTGTCCCAAGTAAATATAGCTTTTTTTGTTTGTTTTACTTGTATTAGATGATTATTGTAAAGAGATATTTTTAATGTTTAAAGAAATAAATAAAGAAAAAAAAATAAGTCTGCCATGCAGAGATAAACATTTTGGAGGAAAACCTTTCTAACTTTGATCTATACATATATATGTAAAACATATTTTAGGAAAATAAATTTTACTATACATATTATTTTTTAGCTTGCCTTTTCTCCCTTTTTTTTTTTTTTAAAGATTTTATTTATTTGACAGAGAGAGACACAGCGAGAGAGGGAACACAAGCAGGGGGAGTGGGAGAGGGAGAAGCAGGCTCCCCACCGAGCAGGGAGCCCGATGCGGGGCTCGATCCCAGGACCCTGGGATCACGACCCAAGCCGAAGGCAGACGCTTAACGACTGAGCCACCCAGGCGCCCCTTGAACTACATAATGGAGACTTTCTATATCAATTAATATTGATTTATCTACATCATTAATTTTAATCCACAGTATGTACATAATTAGACTAATCCCCCACTGTTAGACATTTACATTGTTTCCATTTTTTAGCCATGATAAAAATGCTGAGATTAAAACCTTGCTCTTATGTCTTTGTGCACATATGTTAGTATTTCTGTGGGAAAATATCTTGGATGTTTGATTGCCGAATCAAAGGGTAAGACCATTAAACATTCTGACACATATTGCTAAATTATACAAAAAGATTGTGCCAAAATATGTTCTGATAAACAATGACTCCCCCATCTAAGTAAACACTACTCAACTACCTATTATAATCACGTGTAAAGTCCCTAGAAGCGTACCTGGTACGTAGAGCTCAATCAAATTTATATCTTCATCCTTATCGTATTATTTATATTGTATCGATGTCTGTAAGCTTAAAATCATTTTTTATTTCGAAGGAGGACTAAATAAGCACGGAAATATTCTCTTACTAAACAATAGATATTTTGGGACGCCTGAGTGAGTCAGTCGATTAAGCATCTGCCTTCGGCTTAAGTCATGATCCCAGAGTCCTGGGATCGAGTCCCGCATCAGGCTCCTTGCTCAGTAGGGAGCCTGCTCCTCCCTCTGCCTACTGACCCCTCCTCCCTGCTTGTGCTCTCTCTTTCTCTCTCTGACAAATAAATAAAATCTTAAAAAAAATAAACTATAGATATTTTATATAATTTGCCATTTCTCAATATTCTGCTATTTAATGCAATGGACATTAATCTCAATTTTATCACTATTGACAGTAAGTAAAAAATATGAAAACAGTATAGTTTTTTTATATTTTGAAACTCTGCTATGTATTGTACTGTATTAAATGCCAAGTTGATATTTTGAATATGAGCTCTTCAGAATGGCAAAGATGAAAATAATCCATAAGATTAATATTTCACTGTCACATCAAAAGCACAAAATAAAAAATTATATGTTAAATAGGAAAGATTTATCTTTTAAGTATAAACTTGTTAAGAATCTCTTTTAACATGTATGACATTTATATTACCTTTCTTCCCTCATTCCAAAATGATTGGAATGATTAGGATGATTAGTAGATCATTAGAATGATAGGAATGATTACTCCTATCTTTGTTAGAGAAGTACATTCGTGGTCTCCAGTCGAATTATAGTAGTGGACTCCTTCTAAAAATGAGTCTCACATAAAATCCCTAGAAAGTGAACAGTTTAAATTGATGAGTTTTAAATTTTTCATGGTTCTTAAATGAATACCTCCTTTTGTTTGTGGATTCTTTGATATACCTCCCAGACCTTGATTAGTTTCTACTGATCGATGATATGAATTAGGCATTTCTGTTCTTAAAATATCTTTGGAAATATATAGAGACTTGATTTTATAAAAAACAAATTGAATTTTTGAACTGATAATGCATGTACTTACACTGGTTCTCTATTTTCCAGACCTACTAAAGTCTTGCTGGAAGGAAAATAAGGGGAAAAATGAAGTAAATGTGAAAAAAACCCCATAATTTTAAAATGTTATATTAAAAATAAAAATATTTTTTGTTTATTTTCCAATTATAGAACTCAAGAATAAGCTAGCAT